GGATGGTAGTCAGAGACCTCGACGCGCGACGGAGTCTGGGCCTGTGCCTTCTCTTCGCCACATACGCTAGCCTAATTAATATCTGTTTGATAGGCTGACTGAATTATTGCGCAGTTTAGGCTTTCTCCCACTTGAGCAGGAATGCACGCATGTGCTCTCCGCTAGAAAGCCATGATCACGTAGTTCCTAGTCCAACCTACTTCGGGACCCGAAGACTCATGCGCGTTTGAGGCGCTACATCTGAAGCAGAGGTTTTCAAACTTTCCTTGACCCAGTTGCATCAGCTAAAGTTAGGGACGACACAGAGGTCGCGAATTGCTTATATTTCCTGGTCCCTTTTTTGTGCTGAAACGGTTTCCCTTAGTATTTTTACTTACCAACTGGCAGTTCTTCAATTTTATGACATTGTTTTTCTTCTCTCGTGCGCTGTACATATACCCACACCTCTCAGACGAATGGCTAAGCTGTCACACACCACTGCCGGCGGCTCCGACCCTACCAAGTACTCCTCTGGCCGAGGCATGCTTAACAAGCTTGTTTCGCATGGATCGGCCATGCTACTAGAGGGCATGCGTTCACTGGTCGGACGAAAATCGGTAAGCATTTCTGCATTGTTGCGCTTACTGGTGTCTCCTTACTAACGGTTCTTGTGACTTCACGAAGCAGTGTTCTCCGCATCACCTACCCTTTGGTAACAGCTTAACCTGGTGGCTTAAAGTAAACGAACGTCGCCGACAGGGTTTTCTTCACAGGGGAAACTCTGTCTGTGTGTGTGGAACCTGATGCTGCCAATAAAGGTGAACCCACCATGTTATGTCACACGTAGGCAGGCTCCTCATGTCAGTTAGAACATCTCTTCTCATTCCTCACTACAAATATCCTGCCATCGACCCCTGAAATAATTTTGTCGGTTCTTACTACGAAACTGAATTTCTGACTCGGGAGCTGCCTCGTTTACCTTAGTGTCAATATTTGGAGAAGCACGAAAGGTTCGGGGATGCATCGGACACGCGCCCGAAGTACCATAAGGATAAGCAACCCCTCATTTACCGTCAGCGGTGGCCCTGCACATTCTGGTAATCTGAAATGGTCGTCCTCCCTTCTATACTCCAATGGTTAGCCGCCCGGAAGTTGGGAATTCTCCGATCGCTATAAGGCTGGTATGTTTCAATGTGGACCTCGCTTCACTTATCTAGCCCTGCTTCTCCGAATAGGGCCAATCGCAGGAGGTTGATGTAGGGTACAACTGGAGCGATTGTTATAAGGAAACACATCGCTATACTGGATTTAACCTCGTTAGGAAACTACCTTCTCCCACCATGAAATCAACGACCGCCTCATCTCAAAAGGACTTCCATTCTGCGCAAAGCAAGTTTTTGTCATTATTACCACCAAATTCAGTTGTCTAACCGCCAACGGTAGTATGAAGCGATTCTGTGATTATCTGCACGTTCGCCGTCCGTTTTTACCAAAGACGGCCAAATATGTTCTTGGTGGCTTGAATACTTGAGTATACACAGGCCACACCACGTGGGAAGGAGTTATTGGTCCCTACGGAATAGGTCATCTCAAAGGTAAGTGCGCTGTATGGCATGCCGACGACGGCTCTCAACTGTCCGAATGAACCAACAGACCTGACTGATGCCTGTGCAAGACCGGTAGACATTATGAATAGTCGTAACAGCAACCGAATACGGGAAGCCAAGGCGGGGTGACAAGCACGTAAGACCGGGTTGTCGCTAACCGACTCCTACGGTCAGACACCATTCTGGCTTTTCTTTACTATGATCGTGCACCGATCAAGTTGGATACCTGCAACTTCCTCCCAGCATCGTAGGAGGACCAATACTCGAATCTCTGGAGGGTAGGCGCTCACCGATCGGTTACGAAATTCACTCGTCCAGTTGTGCCCTCGGGCTCTCTCTCGACCCCCGCCAGCAGGCGCTCAATGGCTAGCATATTATAGGCCAAAAATGGCCATTCCGGTCTCCCTTGTCTTGTTGGTAACGTATTTCTATTAGAGACTCTAAAATTTTGTACTCTTTGCAAACAGCACCAGTACACTCAGCCATCACATGTCCTTACCACATTGTGTTCACACACGCTAAATCAGCAGGCATATGTCTTGCTATGAGGTCAGTGAACGTTCTTGGTGCCTTAAGGCTCTAGGTTAAACCCCAAGGAGCAACAAGCACGCTCTGCAGCCTAGTCAGTGGACGCCCCCTCTATCGTTAGCTGTGTTTGTGCGTTTGACACTCAACGTTACTGACTGGTGAATTGTCATGCGTGGCACATTGCAAGCTGAGGTCAGTCGGCTGATAAGCTTGGCCAGTTCACTGGCGTATAGAAGAGCCGCTGAGACCGACCCTGCGAATCCTTCCGCATAGCAACTCAACACATCCTCATTCAACTATATATGAGGCGTGTTTGAGTTCATAATGCCGCGCTTACAGTCGTGGCTTGGAGCGCTGCTAACTGACTCAGTTCAATGCAAAATCGTGGTCGAGCTGTACTGCGTGGGTCCGCATTTTTGTAGGATCCAAAACCCTCGGAATTGCTATTGGTGCATGCGGAGTTAAGGCCGACATCGTGTGTGGTCCTCTTAGAAAGACTGTTTGGCTTTTTTTTAATTATCGCGTTCCCTCCCTCCCTCCCTCCCCGGTATCCTGGTTTTTTTTGCCATCAGAACGCGGCGGGTGCAAGATGAGGGGGTGTAGCAGGTACTACACAGAAGCCACCTCGTTCTCCGGTCGTAGTGGTCCTCGTCGCTTACCGCTATCAAACTGTCCCCACTCCCCCTTAAGACGTCCCTAGGGCTTTAGGCTTCGATTCTGAATGAATATTTCAATACTCCTTCAGCTAAACTAATGCTCATCCCATTTTATCCAGCCTCGACTGCCGATACAAACGAAAATGTGAGTCTTGGGCAGAAGTAGACACGATTGCTGGGACAAGGGCCTTATTTGCCAGCCCCAACCCATTTTCAGGGACAGCATCAAGTAAGGGCTATCGTGTGCACAGGGAGTTGTAGTATTTATAGGATGACCTATAGCTGCCCAACCCACATTCAGTACTGAGACTTAGTTTGGCCAAAGCAATTAGCCACTCGGGGAGCGCGCAGGCGAACACACTTTCCAACACCAATTTCGGGGAGCCAGGTGGCCGAGCGATCTTTACACCAACCTCTAACACGAGCAATGAAATTTTAGCAGATAACAACCTGCATGCCGACGATTAAACATTTAGCACACCAGAGTGCAACCATCCTCGATTAAGGGTGAACCACTGTTATAGGTATGCAGTAGCATAGTAACTGCAACTCTCTGTGTATGGATTACCCGTATCTGAAGATGAGTTCAAACTGGAATCTGAAACGTCAGGCTAGTAAATTGGTTGCCCCGAACGCTCGTGTCGACTTCCTCCCAACCTCGACTATTGACTGCCTCCCCGAATGCTTTGCCTTTCTTTTTACTGCTTAACACTATCGAAAGTATGACCTTATATGCTACTCATTCTGTGTTCACAGTACCTGCCCTTCACTGAGATTGTCGCCCAGCTCGTTGAGAATAAGACGGAGTTGGAGGAGTATGGGTATTTCGACCCGAAACTCTTTCGTCGTACGGATTCGTGAGTACCTCTTTCTATATTCTATTTTAGAAGTTTTTATACTAGTACCTTACCCCTGGTTCTCCACATTTTCAGGGTCTCCTCCTTTTATACGCCCTAAAGCTTAGATAAAAACGTATGAGCGGTCTTGCATTTTGATGCAGACCGTGACCGTTCTATACAACCAGTTTTCCCGAGGCCACAGAGAACTTATTTCTTGTTAATTTCCACAGCAACATTCCACGCTCAAAGCAGCCCTTCTATGATGTCTACGTCTTCGTTGTGGGCGGAGGCACTTATGCGGAATACCACAACCTTCTGGACTGGTCGCGCTCGAGCTCCAAGCTTACGGGCATGCCCAGCAACAGCAGCAGTTCGTCGCTGAATGCCCTAGGTCTCAGCTTGTCCTCATCTGCCGCTACGGTGACCGACCTAGTCTCCTCGTCCGCCTCCGCCTCCTCCCGTCGGATAACCTATGGTGGCACCGAAATTCTCACTCCAAAGGGCTTTCTCGCACAGGTTTGTTTGTTTGTTTGTTTTGACCATCCGCAGCCATTTGCCTGTCTTCTTTATCCTCCGAGATTTTATTCCTAATCGCTGCACTTTCTGACCCGGATTCCAAAAGTTTCCTTATCTCCCAAGGTTATTAAATTATACTGACTTTCGGTTCCTTTCTGCGAAATTGGCCTCCCCCTCCATAGCATATTTTATACGAGAAAGCTTAAAGTGCTATTTATGCTTACGTACTCCTAATTCTGTAGCTTCAAGACTGCTGTTCTCGTCTACGTTTACCATTTTTTCTTGTGTGGAATAGGCTTGGTCTTTGTTCTAAATAATTTGATTACGTATCGTTATACTACCACAACATACTTGTACGGCTGTAGTTAGGCCATAGGCTGTCCTATTTGGATGCGTTTCACGGCCAACATATAATAATTTCATCTTCGCGGCCTTCGCAACCTTGTACCTATTTGTCGGTCTGGTCCACGATTTTTTATCCTAAGACCGAAGAGCCAGCTTGATTCGTTGCTAATTGTCCCTGTTGGCCATTCCACTATCTGTCAAAACTAATTTTCCGACTTGCCAACACCTAAGCTATCGGTTTTCCAGACTGTTTTTTTTCGAAGTCTATATACTTGGCTACTGTGCATGTCGGGCTCCTTCATTGGCTTCAGCCCTCTTTCAGAAGAATCAGTAGATTTGTGCAGCGATGACTTGTTTACCGCTGATTATTTGGACTTAACAAACCGCCTTTTTGAGATTTATGAGAGCTATTTGCTTCCTTTTATCATCCATAGCACCATCTTCTGCCGTAGTGACACCTTGCTTGTTTCCACGCAATTCTCCTTCATTAACAAATGTTGGCAGGTACTGCACAATCTGTAGTTTCTATTCCTTTTCGTCATTGTCGCATATTTACCATTTCAGCTTACTCATCTCGGAAAGGAAGTCTGATGTCTGTTTGCTGAATCGGTCTTTCTTCGTCTCGATCCCTGTCAAACACCATTCCCCTTCTTTTCAGCCGCCGCTTCTCTTGTACTCTTTATCCCGGACGGCCTTTCCTTGTGTCCTTTCAAATTTCAAATGCCTGTTGCTGAACCGCGTGCTTTCGTCCTCATGTAAAGCAATAATCACTGCCCATCCTGTCTCATTGTGCCCTGGTTGAGTCGCAAAATTGGTGGCTGGGTTACGTACCTATGTTTTTGACTTCATTAATCTGCACCTTCAAGGTCGCCTTCATCGGCTATGATTTACTTGTGCAGGCGTTTCGCATGCGTGGTCATGATTGCCGCTCACCGCCCTTTTTTGCCTCCATCCCCCTCACTGTGCACTCCGTAAATAGTTACTGACTCGTCACCCAGGTTCGTTTCTTAGCTGTCTGACCCAAAAAGTATTAAAGCGTACTGGATAAGGGGCAGGCAGACTTCCGTTTGTCCTTAGCTTCATGTTGACCAAGTTCTAAAGGATCTTCGGCCCATTAGTTAAACACTATGACGAAGGGGACAAATGGTTCGGTCTGGAAATTTTCTCATAAGGAGGGGCAGGGACAGGAGACTGTCTGCTCCGACTCGAACGGAGCTCCTCATTTGCTGTGTCTCAGTAGAAGCACGAAAAAAAGGCTGTTTGCCGATTAGACTTTCTTTATCGTTTTCCGAATGTTCTCAACCTTCCATGTCGCGCGTGCTTAACATTGTTTGGTCCTATTTGGTTCTTACTAGATTCTAAAGGAATCTAGGTAGCTATAAATGTTGAATAAATACAATAATCAGTGGCGGTAGATACATTTAATTTGCTCGCACTTATTGCTTGGTTAGTTGTTGGTCGTGTTTACCAAACGGCTCTGTGCCTTCGATAATTCCTGTATTTACGAGTTCAGGGTGAGCTTGTTTGTTGATCCAAAGGCTACCACGGCGACCACTGTCGAAGTCAGTAGCGTTAGTAGTAGACGCTCATCTGGGCATCATGCAGCTATGAGAATAGGGAAGAGAGAATCCTCTCTTCTTTATGCCCTTTGATGTGGACTTCGTCTGAGGTACAATTTTAC